TCCTAACAACAGCTGGCCCCTTCAAGGTCCTGGAAACCTTGCTTCCTTAGAAGACCTATGCTATCCCTAACCACCTCCCAACCTGAGGGTGTATAATCAATCACCTGTCACAACCCCAGGGCAGCTCTTTCTGCCCATGGGTCCTGTCCCATGCTTTAATAAAATCACCTTTTTGCACCAAAGATGTCTCAAGAATTCTTTCTTGGCCAATGGTTCTGGATGCACCCCCGCCCCCCCCCCCCCCCAACTCTAAAACCGCATCAACACCAATTGTTCTGTGCTGGTCTCAGCCTACTGGTAAGCAGTGCTGTGGTTGGACTGGCCCTTGTGATTCTTTTTTTAAGATGCCCTTGAGCAGTAATCATCAGGAAACTTTGGAGGAAAGGTTTATTACTTACAGAACCTGGAAATTACACAGCATACTTGTGGCCACACAGCAAGGTCACCATAGAAAGAGCATATGGGCCTGGGGTTCTGGGGTTTTGCTTTTATTGGGGTCGATGGTTGGGGCCTTGGGTTTTGAGGGCTCAGTTTTTTTTGTGTGTGTGTTTTTTTGAGGGAGAGAGACAGAGCCCGAGTGGGGAAGGGGTAGAAAGAAAAGGAGACACAGAATCTGAAGCAGGTTCCAGGCTCTGAGCTGTCAGCACAGGGCCCAACTCGGGGCTTGCACTCATGAACCGCGAGATCATGACCTGAGCTGAAGTCAGATGCTTAACTTACTGAGCCACTTAATTGCCCCTGAGGGCCCAGTCTTTTTGGGGAATTTAAAACTTAAGAGTGAGAATTTAAAGTGGGGGAAGAGAACAAACAAGTGGCCCAAAGTGGTCAGTTATCAAAGTCAGCAAAATCCCTAAAACAAAGGAGCCTTGGTGGAGGAGAGGTGGCCTGTTTATTAGAAATGGCTGTCAGGGGGCGCCTGGGTGGCGCAGTCGGTTAAGCATCCGACTTCAGCCAGGTCACGATCTCGCGGTCCGTGAGTTCGAGCCCCGTGTCGGGCTCTGGGCTGATGGCTCAGAGCCTGGAGCCTGTTTCAGATTCTGTGTCTCCCTCTCTCTCTGTCCCTCCCCCATTCATGCTCTGTCTCTCTCTGTCGCAAAAATAAATAACCGTTGAAAAAAAAAATTTAAAAAAAAGAAATGGCTGTCAGTTGGACCAAAGCTTCAGTCAGGCACTTGCATTACAAAAAACAAAAGAAACCAACTGTCAGAGGTTACATTGCAAGAGGATGTGTTCCAGACAGAGGGAACAGTAAGCCCAAAGGCCCTGAAGCAAAAATGCACTCTAAACATTTCAGGAACAAATAGGAGGGAGATATTGTATTCACATCACTCAGCTCTTGCCCTTCCTGGATCCTGGAGAATTCTCTGCACAGAGCCATGGATTTTCCACTCTAGCCTATGGGCTTTGGACTTATTTCTGACTCTTGAGAAATCCCTATCCTACCTCCTACTTTCAGCCCAGGGCTGGCTTGAATAAAACACAATGAAGGAGCAAGTAGTATCTCAGGACAGAAGGGCCAGGGCCAGGAAGTATCTTCTAGGGACTCACATAGATCTGGAGACATGTTTGGGATATTATGTTAGAGAAAACAGAAGCTGGGATATGAAGTGGAATCTGCCTGGGTCCCCAGCAAGTCACAATAGGGTCAAGGTAAGGCCCAGGATTCCTGGCTCCCATTCTGTCCACTCAATCTCAGGGCCACCAAAGCCTTTCCCATCTGAGTTCCCCTAACATTCTTTCTCATCTCTCTTTCTCTATCCTCAGATACCTGGTTCTGCCCAAAAGGATTTTCACTGTTCTTTAAACACATCATCATCTCCTTTCAACTCCATACCCTTAAAGGTAATAATGCCTCTTTGTACAGCTCCTTCTCTCACTTGTCTACCAGGTAAACTCCTATTCATCCCTCAAGGCCCTCTCAAATGTTTCCTTCCCTGGAACAAAAGTCTAAACTCAGTTTCTCCAGAACCCATTCATCCTTCCTTTCTCTGTACTCTCATAACACTCCTGCATACATTGATTTTAACATTTACTATGCTCTCCTATAATTGTCTATAGTTGACTTAGTCCTCACTGCACTATATTTTTCTCTACGAGAGGGATTATTTCTGCTTCATTGCTCTATCCATAGGGCCTAGCATGGTGTCTGGCTTTTGCATGGTACTCAATAAATGTTGACCAAACAGTGGAACAAAGAAAGGAATATGAAGCAAATTTCTTAACCTCTCAGAGTCTTAGTTTTATTATCTTTGAAATGAAAGCAAGTTAAGCACCTGGCAAGGTTAAATAATGGATAATGAATGTAAAACAAATGTCACCATCATTGACTGAGTTACCCAAGCCAAAAATAGGGAATCACACAAATTTTCCATTTCTCCCACTCCCTCTTCCTCTACCTGGAACTAACCAGTCACCATGGCTTGTTGAACCTGGCTAAAGACCTTGGTAAGAAACTCTAGCTTACAGGGGAATTTCCACTAGGCCAGAGCTGTCAGGAAGCATGAGAGGCAAAAGGTGCTGGCAGTAGGGATCCTGTAAGGAAAAGAAGTAGGAGGAGAGACTCATGGGGACATAGGCCACAGGAAAAGCAGAGAAAGGATCGAGTAGATGGGAGACGTCAGGCTTTGTCCTGGGGACATAGAAACCACTTAAGTCTGTGCCCTCAGGAGTTCCTGGTCCGCTTGGGAAACAACTAGAAACACAATTTGTACAGAACTAGGTTGTAGTAGATGTGAGAAGGGAGATGATTATTATTTTCAGAAATACCAAACAAAAGCCGTGCTGTCTAGCAATAGGTTTACAACCTATTGGAAATATGTACAAACTGCCTCCTGCCCCCGCCTCACCCCAAACACACACAATGGAGTCCCAAAGCCTTAGATACTTCATTTCCTCATTCTTCTTCCCCTCTCTGTTTTGCAGGCTTATTTTCCTGGGCTTTGCAATGAGCATGCGCCAAAGAACAAAGGGAGGAGAGACTGAAAGTCTCTGCATCACCTTAGGGAATGTACATTTGTTCCAGATTACCTTTTGCCTTACATGGGCATAGGTAATGCCCGGGTAAGACTATAACCTCTGTAGTACTTAGCCAGTGAGGAACCAGGGGAGGGACTTGTGCGCTAGGAAACAAATTGTCTGCGGTAAATGCCCAGAGCGTGCCTGTTTGTCAGACACCCACTTGCAAGAACATTGATTAAAACCTCGTTTCACCGGGAACCCTCTTGCACTGTTGGTGGGAATGCAAATTGGTGCAGCCACTCTGGAAA